AGGTAGCTTCAGGGGTCTCTGTCTTTCCCACCTGCAATCCCTGAGGAGCTTTTCAAGGGAGACCTTCCCTCTCAAGCTGGGAAGGGCTTTTCTACTTTCCCAGGTGGGGGGGGGGTCGCAGACGAGAGGCCTCTTGTGGCTTCTCTGAGGACAGAAGAAGAGCTAAAGGCCTCCCTGTCGCTGCAGTGTCTGCTGTATTGAAAGCCACTCATTCTGATGATAAATTGTCCTTTGGACTTCAAGAGGGTAAGACAGCTGCATTGGGAAGAAAAACTAATACGTGGAGATCCAACTGTGGAAATAGGTCATTAGCCTCTTCTCTACTAGTCAACCTTTCGACTGAATTGTCCCACGGGTTTCTTCTGGTGGGAGGTTTTGGTTGCGGGAAGGGGCAATCTCAAGCTGGGTAGGTTCATTTGAAGCCATGCCTGTTGCTCCACAGGAAGGCTGAAACCTGGGGAATATCTGTCTTCCCTTGGCCATCAGCTTCAAGCATCCTGGGCTCTGGAGAGATCTGCCATATTCATCTGATGCTTGAATCCCAGGATTGATGCCGACCCTGGGGTTGGATGAACCACTGAGGACTCTTGAGGGGACCAAGAGGACTGAGAAGTGCCTCTAGCCAGCCTGGCTGATTCTTGTAGGGTCAGAAGCTCCTGGGAAGCCCACCAGCAGGGAAAAATCCACTCCTCTCTGTCCCAAAGATGCTTTTTCAAGAGGCAGAAGCTTCTAAGGATGATAAGCAAAACATCTTCAAAGAAAAACCAGAAAGTCCAGTCTCTGGAAAAAGCACCTTTGGGACAACCATGACCTGGATGACTGAGAATCTCTGTAGCTCTCTGGTTCTTGCCCAGCACTCTGTGTAGCTTGATCTAGAATGCTGACTGTTTCCCAGTTGAAACTGGTTGAGTCTGTCTGTGTGTGAGAAGATTAAGGAGTTATCATATACATTTAGACTTTGATTGCTTTTCCCTATGAAGGCTCTTTTTAGCCTTTATCCTGGTCACTATTCAGAGTTCATAGCATGGTTGTCTGTTATAAAGACACAAATCATCTTGGGATGGGATGGAACGGAACAGAGCAGAATTCTTTATTGGTCAAGAGTGATTGGACACACAAGGAATTTTTCTCCGGTGTAGAAGCTCTCAGTATACACACAAACAACAAAGTGATAAGTAATAGATCATAAATCATAAGATAAAAGGATTGATAAATCATAATCTACCAGGAAGCAATCCAAACCCAACCATTTTTCTAGGGCTCTTTGTGACTATAACCTGCCATGTAAGGACTGCAACAGCCGCTGTGTAGGACGGACAAGCAGAAGACTGGCAGGGCCATCCATGAACACCAACTAGAGGTCAGGATGAGAAGT